TACTGCTGTTTTTCCATTTATGTTGCATTAGTTGTATATTATACTGAAGTGTTTCCACTTGACAAAAAATCTATTTTACATGAATATCCCAGATATAGGATTGAAAAAATATATATTTAGCAAAGATTCTGTCCAACAATAAATATAAATAAATTAAAAATAAATTTATCACAGATTGTTAAACTATAAGCAACAGCTTTGTATTAGCCAGTGTGTTTCAAATTACAGGAATATATTAAACATCTAAAACCAGAAATACATTTTTAAATACATTTAAAAATAAAAACAAGCATATTCATTAATAGTGGTAATAATATTTCAGAATATTACTTTCATTTTTTTGATCATTTAAATCTTGATGCATCTTGGATATATACAGTTAAAATCAGAATTATTAAATCCCCTTGGAATGTTTTGTTTTCTTTTTTAAATATTTCCCAAATTATGTTTAACAGAGCAAGGACATTTTCACAGTATGTCTGATAATATTTTTTCTTCTGGAGAAAGTCTTATTTGTTTAATTTTGGCTAGAATAAAAGCAGTTTTTCATTTTTTTAAAGACCATTTCAAGTTCAAAATTATTAGCCCCTTTAAGCTATATATTTTTTTAACAGTCTACAGAACAAACCATCGTTATAAAATAACTTGCCTAATTAACCTAACCTGCCTAGTTAACCATGTTAAGCCTTTAAAATCACTTTAAGCTGTGTAGAAGTGTCTTGAAAAACATCTAGTCAAATATTATTTACTGTCATCATGGCAAAGATAAAAAAAAATCAGTTATTAGAGTTATTAGGTTAATAATTCAGGGGGTTTAATTATTCTGACTTCAACTGTTATATAATCTTAAAGGGATAGTTCACCTAAACTGAAAATTCTGTCATCATTAACTCACTCTTCACTTGTCTCAAAACTGCTTGACTTTTTTTTTTCTTTTGTTAAACACTAAAGATATTTTGAAGAAAGCTTGAAACCTGTAACCATTGACTTCCATATTTGTTTTTCCAACCAAGGATGTCAATGGTCAAAAGTTTCTTCAGAATATCTTAATTTATGTTCTACCGAAAAAGAAACTCATATAGCTTTGAAGCCATTTGAAGGAGAGTAAATAGTTAGTACGTTGTCAATTTTGGGGCAACTATCCCTTTAACAATGTCACTTGCAAATGTTCCAGACCTTTTTGAGTTTCTCTGTATACTGTAAAAGATATTTTGAAGACTTCAGAATAAAACAAAAAATGATCAGGGGTAGCTTAAATAATATGTTGGTGCTCTGATCTTTGGGTAAAGGATTCATTAGAATATACAGAAAAAAATCAGTCCAAGGCACTCAAAAAAATGTGGAAAAACATTAAAAAGCCTTAACTGACATGGCCATAACTTAGTATAGATATTCAATATTTTTCCACATTTTTTTATACTGTCTTAGGCTTTTTGCTGTATATTTTAAAAAATATCGGAAACTGTTGGCCATCAACTTCCCACAAAATACCCCCCCCCCCCTCCCCACACACACAATCTATTTTAATGTCTACCGGTTTCCAACATTCTTCAAAGTATCTTATTTTGTGTTCAACAGAAAAAAAAAAGAAATTTAAAGGTTTGGACCACTACATTGTGAGTACATTTTTATTTCTGGATGAACCATTCCTTTAAGCACTAACAGCTCCTTGGGGGCACCTAAAATTGTGGCTTCAATGAACGCATCGAAAAGGTCAAAAGGGCAGCAACAATCTTAAATCCACAGAATAATAATTACATTCCTCTTTTACAACACACACAATCTGTTCCTTTCTGACAACAAAAGTACCACTAGACTGCCAATCATTCATGTTGAGGTACTATTCCATAGAGCAAGAGATTATAGGAAGGATTTCCAGATTTTGTGTGCGAGTATTTGGGTAAATGTTAAGCCGAGCTGCTCAGTCCTTTACGGGTGTTTTCAATGAAAAGAGCAACAGGTCTCTCATTGACAGGGGTATTAATGACCACTGCTGCCCTCATGGTGGGTCTCTGATTGAACGATGTCCTGTAGAGACGCAAGAATGTAAAGGCTAGACGCCTGCTACTTTTGATACATTTCAGCTTTTTATCCTAATAAAGGAGTAAGACATCTAATCTAGAGGAATGCCATCTTTGTGGAGCAACAGTCTGAGTTCACAATATGGATTAGTAATTCATTAACTCACTCAAAGATGGGATCACTTCAATAAGGCATTCACTCACTGACTTACCCCTTCAGACACGAATTATGTTCAGAGTTTCAGAAAAATGTAAAAGTATGATTTCACAGTTCTTGAGGCTCCTATAAACAAGACCAAAATTATAATAATACAAATTCAACACCCTTTAAGTAGATTTCTCAGAAGAGTTGTACTTCTCGAACCTTATCAACAAAAATACTGTGATTACTTGTATAATTCTGAAATTTATTTTCAAAATCACAAACATTAACATTTTACTTTAATTTTGAGTTTTTTTGTTATAAAGATTGCATATTTTTTATAACAAACTTCATCTTCATCTTCCTCATCTTTCATCTATCGATCTATCTATCTATCTATCTATCTATCTATCTATCTATCTATCTATCTATCTATCTATCTATCTATCTATCTATCTATCTATCTATCTATCTATCTATCTATCTATCTATCTATCTATCTATATATATATATATATATATATATATATATATATGTATGTATGTATGTATGTATGTATAGATTCAATCAGCATTACTGGAGATTTATATACAGAAACGGATCTTGAACACCCATTGTTTATCCAAATCGACAGACATTTTTGAAAATCTGATCTAAAGCTTGCAATGCTACAGAAGATTTTAAACTTTAATTAGTAAGTGCAATCCCTCTATTTTACATACAATCCATGAAACATTGGCAAACATATAAATAAATCTGAATAAAAGCATTGTGGCTAAATGTGGCTTACGTCTGTGTCTGGAGTGGTGATGTCATGCCGGGCCTTAATTACTGCCATTTCATTGGATGAAAATAGGCCACTATCATGGACTGCAGGCTTAAAATTGGATGTTTTTGAGTGCTAAGGAACCACTTAAACATGGGCTGACATGTGATGTCCATTGTAATGGACAGGGTCTAAAGGAGTAAAAAGGATAGTTCACCCTAACATGAAAAATGACTCACTACTTACACGGACTCAGATGCTTGCAAACCTTTGTTTTTTTTCTGTTGAACCCAAATGAAGATATTTTAAAGAAAGCTGAAAACCTGGAGAAAGAGGAAAGAGAAAGTATTATGGAAAAGTCAGTGGTTACCTTTTTTTTTTTGGAGTTTTGTTTTCAACAGAAGAAAAACACTCAATAAGGTTTTTGACAAAGGAAGTAAATGAAAACAGCATTTTTAGTTTTGGGTGAACTACTCCTTTAAATGCGCAATGAACATGCCACACCTCTGAATATTTGAATCTGTAAGTGACATTTTAATTCACTCTAAAATCAAAGTCATCAATTACTAGGGTTTAAAGCACAAGTGTCAACCTCAGTTCCTGGAGGGCCGCAACTCTGCACTGTCTAGTCCCAACCCTAATAAAACACACCTGATCAAACTTATTGGGTGCTTTATGCTTGTTTGAAACCTACAGACAGGAGTGTTGAAGCAGGGCTGGAACTAAACTCTGCAGAGCTTGCAACCCTCCTGGTATTGAGTTTGACACCCTTGGTTTTAACTGATCGCATAGTTTATGAACAAAATAAACCCAACTGAGAAAATGACGTATAACATGCATGGTGTTAAAACGTTATCAAGTGAAAAAGTCACAAAAAGCTGAACAGGCATTTATAATATCCATTTATGTAAATGGTGGCTCAGTGGTTAGCACTGTCACCTCATAGCAAAGCAAAGAGGCTTGCATGTTTTCCTCATGTTTTGTCATGGGTTTCCTTCACAGTCCAATGGCATGCAGTATATATCATTTGGATAAACTAAGTGACTAACACAGTATATGTGATTTAAGGAAGAAAAGGTGTATGGGTTTGTTTCCTAGCATTAGACATTCATGAGTTAGCATACGCTTAGTGCTGGGTTGCGGCAGGAAAGGCATCCACCGGTAAAACGAGAGTAATTGGCGGTTCATTCCACAGGCAACCCCTCATAAATCAGGTAATAAACCAAAGGAAACTGAGTGAGTGAGAGTGCATAACTGCTTTAATAGAGTTAAAAATAATGGTTATTAACATAGTAATCCTTATTGATGACTACATTTTTTTTAAACATTTTATTAGCAGGGCATTTATTGAATTTCCATTTGTAGAATGTATAGATTCCATAGGTCAATGTTGTCAAAACAATTAAATAAATGAATTTTTAAATAAATTAAATAAATCAGCAAATTATAGGTATTGGTAAGTGAAAGCAAATTGTATAAATATGCATGCCTGTGTATTTAATTATTATTTTTTTTTAAATTATTTTAATAGTATCAACACAGTTTGCCGATACTGAATTAAAGTGTAGATTAATCCTGATTATCTCATAAAGTGATCAATCTCTTAAGAAGATTTTTAACCCTTCTATTCACATGGATTTACATAAGGATCTCTTTATGAACCTGATGAAATGGTTAAAATGCACTATCGAAAATTTCAATGTGATGATGTCATAGGCCCATGAAAATTTCCTGCTGGTTATCAAACTATTTGTAACTGTAACAAGAGGCAATTCAATCATAACTTTAAGTTAGTTAATAGCTAGTAAATAGGATGATTTAGCAATATTTGGACTTTTTGTGGATTCTCAGAAGCAATGGAAATGAAAAATGTAAAACAGGAAATACGTGAGGACCATTGTTATTGTTTAAATCCCTCAAAATGGGCTATTGAGTGACAGAAATATATTAATTTTTGTCAATAAATGAATGAATGAAAGGTAAACGGAAGTCTTAAGGGTGTGTAATGTGATGAGACTGATTAAATGATACAATTTCTGAATTCTGAAAACAACAAAAACTCATTCATTATTAACACTGAAAATCATGTGCTGCTTTTATTTTTGTCTTGCTCTCTGAATGCCATTTTCATGGCAGAATCTGTCAACACCAGTAAAATACAGTGTTTCAAGCATACGCAACTGATGCAACAGTCAATGGAATTCCTCCATCCTCACGTAGCACACCATAGTTTAAGACTCTGAATAACAGATAACGCTGGAATGCCTAAAACAAGATTGTCTGGCATGTTTTCACACGTACACAGGTAGTGGGAAGTAAGTAACACTTGTAACACATTTAAATCGTTTTTAACAAAAAGAGAAAGAAAGACACAGAACAGGTGTCAAACCAATCAACAGCTGTCATTATGTTTTGTGTAGTGTCTAAAAAGCACGCTATGTTGAGCTGCAACAAACGTCTGAAACTTAGAAATGATTTAATGTCACAGTAAAAGGAGAACGTAAACACTCATAAAATAAAAAGAAATTTAATGGAGTTTGCCTTAATACTGTTAGTCAAATGTAATTAAGTTCAATACATAAATGTTAAAGCATTAAAGGTGTCTTAAGCCATAAGAAATGAGTTTAAAAGCTTTTGTGCGTCATTAAATTGTAAACAGCGTTTAAACAGAAATGTTTAGTAAAGATAAAGGTGATGATACACAGGGTAATTTTAAGAGCAATGCTGCCTGGCAAAGTTGCTTCACTACTTTCTTATTGAGAATAGGCAAAACTGTATTAGCCCTACAGGTACACATTGTCATAAGACGTTAATATTTGGTTAAATTTAGGTTGTGACTTCAGGTGACCAAAATTCAATGTCTAGTCAGTGTCTAAGCACAACGTTATTTTGACGTCCAATAAAGACGTCAAATTATGTTGATATTTGGTTGATTTTAGGTTGTATGACCAAAATCCAATGTCAAGCCAACATCCTCAAACCTACGTTATATTGACATCCAATACTGACATTTATGCGTTAGATATGACAACCAAAATCCAACAACTGATAGACACTGTAGAGGTACTATCAACACATCAAGCTGTAACTTCATCAGACATTGGTTGATTTTAGGTTGGACATTGGACCTTGATGTCAGTCTGATGTTGGGTTTTGATGTCAACCTGATTTTTAAAACAAATTTCAAAACAAATTGCAACTCCCCCACAACGTTGAGGTACAACATCAATCTGACATCATGTTGTTGCCCTGTGCCTGCTGGTTGGATCTGTAAGATCGGTCATATGCAATTATTTGAGATCCTCCACTCAGAAACCAAGCAGCTAATCATGTGACCCAGCTGTCAAAAAACATTTAAAATTGCAGCTGCTTAGAGGCAGAAGAACAAAGAAAAGAGCACAAACGTATTATTCCAGTAAGTTTTCAGATGTGAACAGAAAACTGGGTTTTTATATAATTAATTTTAATCAAATTTGCTACCAATGTCAATTTAAATGTGCAGTAATATATTTAGCTTCCTTGTTTCCTTGCATTTCAGGATCATTTTAAGTTAATTTTAATTGTTTTTAAGTGTCTGAATGGTGCTGCACCTCTTTACCTATCTGAGCCTCTCTGTCCCTACACACCTTATAAATCACACAAGTCAGCCAACCAGCTCCTTCTGGATGTGCCCAGGACCAGTCAAAAGCAGATCGGGATCGGGCTTTTGCTGTGGCCGCACCTAAATTGTGGAATGGGCTGCCGTTGTATATTAGGCCAGCCTCTTCCATTACTGTTTTTAAATCTCTTCTTAAAAATCGTTTGCTAAAGTTGGCTTTTAGCACACTGTGAGATGTTGACATTTTATGTTTATTTATTTCTATTTTAAAGTTTGTGCTACGCTTTGTTTCACTTCTATTGTCAGCACTTTGGTCAACTGTGCTGTTTTAAAGTGCATTATAAATGAAAAAAAAGTTTAAAGAGTTTCCAAGCATCACTGCTCTAAAAGTTGCCCTGTGTATCGTCCAATTACAACAGCAAACTCACCAATTATCCAAACCAACAACTAAAAATTACATTCAATTTGATGAAAGTTGCTGCGAAATGAAAAATTCATCAAGTAAGAGAACATTTAAGACTTGGTTTTAAAAACAAACACAAGTGTGCAAAACCAATGAGATGAAATGTTTGAAGTTTCTCCCAGTAGTTTCATTCTCATTAAACAATGGATGAGCTTGTAATCTTAGGCATATGAATGGAGACCAACATGGAAAACAAGAAACACCTGAAAAAATGGAAAAACAGATTAAATCATTTAGGATAAATGGGTTATTTTTGGCATTTGCAAAGCATAAAAATCTGTGATGTAACACTTTTGGCTTCAGGAGTTCAGTCTACAGGAATATGTGGCCCAATTTGTTTTGTCATGTGTCACTTTTTTACCAAATGAAAAAAAAAATTGACTCATAAGTGATCCTTAAAGGAGTAGTTCACTTCATGTACTTACTCCCAACTTGTTTCAAACTTGTATGAGTTTCTTTCTAATGTTAATCACAAAAGATGTCTTTAAAATTGATGCCATCAAAAATAAATACTATGGAAGTCAATGGAGAGCCTCAACTGGAACTTAAGTGGAACTCAATGGTTACCTGTCATTAGAAGTTAACTATTCCTGTAATCATATAAACTTCATGTTTTGTAATACAACCTCAGTCTGCAGACTCAATAGAACAGAATTAAAAATTTTACATAGTTTAACGAAATACTAAGTAAAGCCAATCGAAACATTGTAACTCAGCACAAATGTTTGCAGTGTGAATTAAGACCTAGTTGAGTTCTTACTGGTGAAGAGTGTGTCCTCAGAAAAGGCCTTTTATCTCCTCGGTCACAGGATCAAGGTCAATGTCATAGAAACAGGGTCGTGTAGGCAAGCCTGGCATAGTGCTCATCTGAAAGACAAGAGAAAAGAAGAAGGGAGTACCTAAAGTGTATACATAGCACAAAACAGAATCAGTGCTCAGTTTTATTTGACACAGGTATCAAAACAAAAAGGCAAATATATTGTATGCCAACAAAACATCAGAGGAAACAGTGTAATGGAGTCACAAGGGAACTCAGGTTTAGATTCACTTAGTAGGAAGGATCATAAATTCAGTCTAAAACAAGAAGTTGTTTCAAAGATGCTGAAGTATGTTGAACAAATTTTCTTGCAAAATGTCTTTTCTAGGCAAATCTTGTTAAAACCAAAGGACTTCACTGGCAGACAAATCTAAACTGTAAACAGAAATTAACGCTGGAGCCAGAAAAACCAAACCAAAATCATCCAATGAGTGCTCTTTCTTAAAACGAATATTTTATTTTTAAAATACAACGGTGTAAGATGATCTGTCATAAAGGCAGTCTGCATTCATTATGTTTTCCCTATGCTTCCTCTATCAATGCAAGTAAATGTCATGCTCTAATACAAAGTGTAAACCTGTACAAAAGTGTAATAATCAGTAAGCCTTAAGGTCATCCCTTTAATTTCCAAACAACCAGATTTGAAGCCAATGGTCAAATCAATTGATTATATAAAAGAAAAATGAAGAACCCCTTTTAAAATGCCACAGATTAAAATCAAGTGACTGGCACACATGTGAGAGACAGGCAAAAAAGAAAGGCATTATCTCAATTCAATTATCATCGAAAACAAACCAAGGCAGACAAAGGCAAAGGAAACCGTACATCATTTATCCAGGAATTCCATCTTGTCCACAGAATGAAATGGTCTGTCGTTTTCACAGAGGTCTCAGAAACAAGGTCCTGCTGCGCTCAATTCCAAAGAGCCACGGACGTCATCAATCTCTAATATCTCAGCTGTTTACAACCTAGTAACCTTTGTGTGCGGTGGTCACATGCACTTCTGAGGATGAAGGAAGACATTATCTTCCCCGAGCCTTTATTCGCGACTTCCTATTCCCATCTTTTCTTAGAACAGAACCTCATCAGAGCTTTAAATAATTCAATTACAAGAAAGATTCATCTTATGCATGACAAGCCAGGAGCTGTTTAATGGCTTACGGGAATAAATGAACTTCTTAGATCTTCATCTAGAAGATGAAGCGATTTGAGTTAAATCAAATTTTTTAAAGTTTTGTTTTTAACATCAGATGTTCTTCCCCTATTTTGTTTGGTTGGCTAACTGACAAAGGTTTTTCCAGTATGACATCACCATGAGGCTCATTTTAATGGCTAAGTCTCTACAGATGGGATATATTAACTTTGGACTCCATATGACCCAAAGAATTGAAAAGAGACCAGGTTTGTGACTTTAGGTCAAATCATTTAGCTCAGAATATTTAAAAAATTCATTCATTTATTTTCTTTTCAGCTTAGTCCTTTTAATAATCATGGGTCGCCACAGTGGAATGAACCGCCAACTTATTCAGCATGTGTTTTTTACGCAGCGGAGTCCCTTTCAGCCACAACCCTAGCACTCAGAATCACCCAAACACTCATTCACACCCACACATACACTACTGCTAATTTAGTTTATTCAATTTACTTAACCGCCAGTCTTTGGACTTGTAGGGGAAACCGGAGCACCCAGAGGAAACCCACGTGAACACCGGGAGAACATGCAAACTTATCACAGAAATGCCAACTGACCCAGCCGGGGCTCAAAATAGCAACCTTCTTGCTGTTAGGTGCCACCATGTTGCCCTATTTAATAAAGTCATTAATTCATTCATTTTCTTTTCGGCTTAGTCCCTTTATTTATCCGCACACATTCATTCATATAAATATACAAACAAAGCACACACAACAATAGGCCTATATAAACACAAGCAAATTGACAACACAAAAAAAGTGCAGCAGTCTCACAATCATATAATTTTTATAGTCATTTTTTTATTTGTTTAATTGACCTCACCTAAAGACACTGATGGGCACAATGTTTTCAGCACAAGTTCATTCTTGGTTTAATTTTGGAGACCATCCCTCAGAAATCATCCTCAATGTTCAAATTTGTGGCCTGTATTGATTTTTAATTTATTTGATTGCCATAAAGGTGCCAGAAAGTTTAACCTGGTCCTATAAAATCATTCTGCTGCATTTGAGGCTGTTGCTGTGTTGTTAATCCAAAGCAAACACACAACCTTATGAAAAAAAATTGAAAGGCTGATGGCTTTTCATTTGCATGTTGTTGTTTTTTTTTTAACTACTATTAACTATTAATTAATAACTACTCTTTTTACCGACTACTCATTTCCACACTAACACTATAAGCCCAGTTGCTATTCCACATAAAAAAAATCACCACAATTATTTCCATTCACAATGGCCCATTATGTAGTTACTGCTCAAGAACAAATGGCAACTTAATTCATTTAGCTCAGCATTGGCTTCACATGGGTCATGTTTTCCTCACCGCAGACCATTGTGTTTTTTAAAACCTGCACCAGGCTGCTTTTGACATATGTTCATGTCAGCACACCAAAACACCATAAGCCTTCCAGCAGTATCATCAGGAATTCATTGTGCGGTTTTACAGAAGACACGGATTTGGGCAATAAATTTCCTGAGCTGAATGGAAGCTGGGATCCGTTGAGTCCCATTGTTCTCTGGCTGACCCTCCCTCACATATCTGGAGCATGACATCAGTTACTTCCTCCTGTAACCCCCACCCCCAGGTCTGCTTTGCCCCTGAGGGGGCTGCATTGAAGGAAAATACACAAACACATAGACACACCTGTCTACAATTCTGACCTGCATTATATGATGATTACATGCCATTTTAAATGCAAGTTTGGCCATCAATGAAAGATAGGATTCACACGCTTGTAAAATAACCCTTTTTTCACAGACATTTATTGATGTTGAGAACCAGTGTGGCATACTGAAAAAGATCATTCTGAAGTGAATTATGATACTCAGTACCCTATACTGGAAATTCTAGGAAGGGTGACATAGTGGCGCAGTGCATAGCACTGTCACTTTATAGCAAGAAGGTCGCTGGTTTGAGCCCCGGCTGGGTCAGTTAGCACTTCTTTGTGGTCTGCATGTTCTCCACGTGTTTGAGTGGATTTCCTCCAAGTGATCCGGTAGGCACTCCAAAGACATGCGCTATAAGTAAATAGGGTAGGCTAAATTGGCCGTAGTGTATGTGTGGGTGTGAATGCAAGAGTGCATGGGTGCGTTGCAGTTGGAAAGGCATCCGCTGCATAAAACACATGCTGGATGAATTGGCAATGCATTCCGCTGTTGCGACCCTGGATTAATAAAGGGACTAGGGCAAAAAGAGAATGACTGAAAGAGAATTCTAGGACTAAATCGAATTGTTAATTTTCCAATGCATAACCACTTTACCGCAGTCTTCGCATAGCTCAAACAATAGATCATGGCACTAGCAACACCAAGGCAGTTGGTTCGATATGCCAGGGAACGCAAGAAGTAATAAAATAGGTACCTTCTAGGGTTGCACAATATCAGAAACCTCTAACATTGCCATATTTTGATATACTCTAATATAGATTGCGATATAAATACAATTTCATTAGGTGACTTGAATATAACTATTTGAAAAAAAAAATTATATTGATTGGGACGATTCTGTATTGGAGTGCATCTGCATAAAATCTAAAATCTTTTAAATAGAATAAAACACACACACACACACACACACACACACACACACACACACACACACACAATTGAGAAGGACAATGTTTTAGCATTTTCCGAGTCTAACATTATACAGGTACAGCAATTGAATAATTAAAATTAAAATAATTAAATAAAATTCATTATTAATTCAGTTACAAACAGTTCAATTTCTCATGCCTGAATGCTTTTAAAATCATTATACAGTCACAAGCCTAAAAATACATTGAAATTATAAATTGCATATTCTACAAGGACTATTGCCAATGATCACATTGCGTTATCGATGCTGAAACGATATATTGTGCAGCCCTAGTGCCTTCAGTGCAAGATACTAAAGGTGTCTGCCAAATGCATAAATGTAATGGACCCATGTAGATTATATTACAAGCAAGTGAGCAAGCAAAAGACAATTTGAATTAAGATATTTTAAAAAAAAAGTCAATTCTGAACAACAGATGGAATGATGAAATGGTTACGCTCAAGTTCAAAGAGTTGGCAGAAAATCTGCAAAAGATTGATGGTGAGAGGTCACGAGCGTTGGACTGAGTGTCCCGCAGCAGGCCTACAGAGATGAAAGAGGGCCAAGCGCTGGTCAGACCGGAGAGGCTAGGTCACAGTCACCCATCTCCCAGCATGCCGCATGCCGGACACCTCACCCTAACCCTGACCCCACACTGCAGCCAGGACCGCTCTCTCAACCCGGAAATGAGCTTCCTTCCCTCAGCCTCACCCCGCCAACAAAACACAACCACAAAAAGACACAAAAATGCTGGCTCAATCAAGCTGGGCCATTAAAAAAGGAAATTTCAGCTAGAGGAAGGGCTAGTCAGAACTAAATATCATAAAGAACAAAAAGCATCATTGGACAAACACACTGCTATTTATATCACAGACTGGTGGTCCAGAAATGAAAGGGATGGTTTATTTAAAAATGTAACTGACTTAACTTAGTTTCCCTCAGGCCATACTAGATGTCTGTGAGTTTGTTTTTTACTTTACAACTTCAGCTGATACCCTTGTCCTTGGTAATGCATTAAATGTAAGCAAATTGCTACGTTTGTTTTGAGAGAAAAGGCATGTACAGGAAAAATACAATGCTCAGCGTAAATGAGTACAACCTATTTTGAAAATGAATATTTTTATCCATTTACCAGTGAATATAGGCTTTTAGTGATTCAAACAAAATGGATTTATTAAACAGATATATTTATTCAAATAATATTTTAGTCACCAAACATATTTAGAAATTGAAAGATAATACAATTTCATTCAAGCAAAACATTGAAAAAAAAATTACAACCTACAAAATTTCAACAAATTTTTTTTCACTGTCTTTTTTTTTTTTTACATATATACATATATATATATTTCCTTTTCTTATATTTGAATACAAGTTTTATTTTATGTTTTCAAATATTTTATTTTATTGTAAAGCACTTTGGATCAACTACGGTTGTGTAAAATTGTGCTTTATAAATAAAAATTGCCTTGCCTTGCCTTTTCCTATTTCTTAAATTTGTATTTAATATTTTTCTATAACATATAAATCTGAGTGTACTAGTTTTTGGACAGTTGTGGTAAGTTATTTTGTTAGATAAGCTCCAGATTTAACTTCAGGACTGACTAATCTAATGTACATGCACAAATATAATGTTGTATAGCTTCCTGTTAAAATATGAATTTAAAAGAGAGATTTGTGAGGGGTGGCCTTATATATGCTGAGCACGGTACATATATAGTCCTGATGATACATTAAGGTCTTGTAAAGTGAAACAATCAGTCTGTGCAAAAACCTTAACATTATTTCTAAAATTATTTTCATGGCAGCCTCTGCAACTGGCTTTTGTTCTAATGATGCATAAACGGGTGCAAACTCACATGTATTGATACTCGTGCTGGGAGCTGCTGACTTGCAGTTTATGAACCACCAAGCATCACGTTTCTGCTACAAAAACATCTTTAATATTTTAATGAAGAAATATGAAAGACATCTAGTATTGCCTGTGGGTCAGCAAATTATTTCATTTTTGGTTGTTCTACTGCCACCAAACTGAATTTAAAACATGATCAATGGTTTTGCAAACTTTACAAGTCTACTATTGGTTAACCAAAACAGGCAAGTGATGTAGTTGGTTGAGAATTGTGTGGAGAAAATCCCAACTCCCTCCATCCCCAATGCAATGGCTAATCTTGCCAATCAGTTAAATACAGCTGCAGGCAATGTCGAAGACACCTAATGTAATGGTAGTGCCAAAAACCTTTTAAAATATTACAGGCCCCATTTACACTAATACCTTTTAGTTTTAAAGCGCTTATTTTGCTACGATTATGCCTTCCGTCCACACTACCCTGGAGTTTTCGAGCCGGAAAACAGAGTTTTGAAAACAATGAAGAGCCCATTTTGGTTTAAAACGCTGCTGCTCCATGTCAGTGTGGATGGGGGAAAATTGAGACATCTGAAAACGGAGACCTTGCTGCAGAAATTCACACTACCTGATTGGGGCTTTTTTTCTCAATATTAAGTGCACAAAATTCAATCCTGCATCCTTTCCTTAAGATCAGACTTTGCAAGTTTGATATGGAAAACAAACCCCCGAAGATACGACTGGTAAATCTTCAAAGGAAGAAGTACTTTATACTGTCATTCACATCACCCTGCAGGCTACGTTGTTTCATTATCTTATCAATGAAATGAAAATGAAAGGGATGAAATGAATGAGGAACTGCCTATTTTCATTTTGATATTAACAACAACAAACACCAATGTCGAGGTGTCGTGTAGCTCCATATTTCTATGATCGTCATCTTCACTGTAAGCATATTCATAACAAAACGAAGCCTATAGCATCACTGTCTCCCTTCATTTTCAGTGAAAATATGAAACATACCCTCTCTTTTGCAGAATATCAGTTAATAATGAATGATGGTCATTATAAAAGTATAACGTACAATAAGTTTATACAATATAGGAAATAAACGCAAGCAATCAGTCAAATGTGCAGAATTAGTGTATGTGGTTACATTAATATATTAAGTCATCTTTGCGCCCAGCCAAAGTTACCTGAGAACAAGTAAAAGACTCTAAAGACCAAAAAGTCGTTAGATAGAGACAAGATTAATTAAATATCACGTTTAACAACAATAGTGAGATAAATTCCAGAGGAAGATCCTTAATGAAATGTGTGCTCAAAGCACCCACTATCTGCCTGGAGCTCAGACTTGCGCATACGCTGCAGTGCATGCCATATTGTGTGTGTGATCAGGTGATGTGCGTTTTCAGCAGTGTAGTGTGAATAAAAAACTAGGTAAAATCTAGGTAAAATGCCAGTGTGGATGTGGATAGTTTTCGTTCTAAAACGCTTGTAATTTTCTAAAGTGTTTGTAATTTTCAGTTTTAAAATGTCAATGGAGAATCAAGAGTCCAGCCTTGTATATCCACCAAGCTGGACGTCTGACTGGAATGCCGGTTCCTGAGGTGGACCAGCTGGGCTTAGGAAGAAAGTAGAGCAAACATTGGGAAATCCACAGATGGAGTTTCTTAATGAAAACCACAAACACGTGCGCACACATACACAAGCATGGGTCATTCAAAAGTTGACCGCACATTCTCTAAAATCTGTTTTCACAAGGCTTAATCAAACTGTCTCAACAGGTTTTACCATGAATTGGAACCGAGAATCCAATAGACCTCTCATTAATGAAAACTGCCTTAACCAAACATTGTCAGGAATTCAGAGAAGAGATATATCTGCCTAAGGCCAGGCAGTATTGTTTTTTAAGAGAGCAAAAACATGAAGGCAGAGGAATTTGGCCTGAATGCTGTTTTTAAAAAACCCTCAGAGGTCATAGATCACAGGTTCAACCGTAATCCTGGATCCTATTAGTAACTGAAACATATACTTACTTAGCAGTAGAGGAAGTAATAATAAAAAAGGTAATGTGTAGAGTGAATGGCATTGAATGAGTGAAAACCATAAATATGAAAGTGTGGACATGCAGATAGAACTGAAAAGAATGGACCAAGACGAGAGCTTTCATCAGATTTCGAGAATAATCACTTACTGTTCCAACTAAAGGGTAGATAAAGCCTGCGCCGATGCTGGCACGGACGTCTCTGATGGGCAGGATAAAGTTGGTGGGAACACCTTTTTTCTCAGGCATGTGAGAGAGAGACAGGTGGGTTTTGGCCATGCAGATAGGAAGAGCACCAAAGCCCTGTGAGAGATTTATAGACAATGTTAATACCCATATGAGACATGCATATCATCGGCTCTGGGCTATTGATACCCGTTAACTGTAATGTTTTGAGATGCACTGCTTCACTGAACACAATTCCAACCGGTTGGGCCAAGATTATTTAACTATTTCATATCAGTAAGTAAACAGGTTAAGAAACATTTGCTATTATGCCAGTTTTTCATGCTTGAACATTGGAATTGTTACGCTGCAATATGAAATCTGACTTTTTTTTATTTCAATATTTTTATTATTAGATTTTTTTTCAGAAATATGTCCAAGCGTTGCCTATTGTGACTAAATATGTAATTGCAGATAGTGGCTATATCTAGGTGTCATATATTGCATTTGTATTAAACTGAACTGAATCTGTTTTAATTTAACTAGAACTACATCAGCATTCTGCTTGCTGCCTGGTATGCTAAAGTGATTTACAATCTGAAATATAATAGCTTTTTCTATTTTTAATGCAATTTCATTGTAAAAGTGCTAAAAAAATTAAGGATTACTTGACTACAGTACTACATATTTTAAATTAAAGAGGTGTGAACCTACACTGGTTGTTTGGTTCATTTACGATTATCATGCCATCGATTCGGTTCAATCCGATATCTCGGTGCATCACAGTGCATTGACAATGCTTTCCATACATAATTTAATATTCTACTTTACAGCACAATAATTCTTGTATTAAAATGTATAATTAAAAAAAAAACATTTTATATGTATTTGTAATACAATCTTGTCCTTAAACACAAGCAGTCAGATATATGAACTGTACCTTTAATTTTACCAGCTCAAAAAAAAAAACACTCTGCATCAAACAAAACTCAAGTACATGCACAGAACAACATGAGCATTTAAAACAAGTAAACAAACGTAAATATTACTCCACTTGCTTTTTGAGCATTGTCAAGCAAGTTGTTAAATGCCAATGATTGACATGCTGTCCCGGGAGAGAGCCCTGAGCTCATGAGATCCTTGAGTTCGGGGTTCCCTCCTGTTGCAGGGCGAGAGGGGAGTCTGAGTGTAGGTAGATCTCGAGAACTCCCCTGCTTGATTATGAATTGGCTGTGAAGATTGTATGCTGAAATCATTGCTTGCCTTTAATGACGATTTAATTGACGATTTAAACAATTGGTCTGTGGGAGGAAACCGGAGTGCCCGGGAAAAACCCACTCAAACACGAGGAGAACATGCAAACTCTGCAGAGAAACACCAACCTGGCCAGGTAAGGTCTGAGCCATTGACGTTCTTGCTGTGAGGCAATGATGCTAATCATTGGGCCTCCGTGCTACCCTGATAAGGAAAGGGGAGGAGTAGGGGTGGAAGGGGGGATTCTTCAAGACAAAGATGGCTAAGGTAAGATGCTTTGATTATCTATAATGATTTAGGAATCGTCTGATTGGTGGATCATGCGTAGCTAATGAGGATCAGCCGCTGTCAATCATAAGCGCGTGCTCCTCTTGAAATTAGTTTATAAATAAACTTCACTTAATTACTCATGCTGGCCTCCCTCGCCATAGTATTCTACTGCAACATAGCGTATATTAGATTAATGACATCCGTATGCAATAAATAATTACCAAAACCAAGTCCGGGTTCTCATTGCAGTGCACCAAAGAAACAATTAATTTTGATACTCCTGGTAAATTAAGATTGTCACTGAACATTAAAAGGCTGAAAATTCTAAAAATACTTTCACATCTTATTAATGTTTAAAAATAAATCACCTATTAGGTCTGAGCATTTGGTGTTGTGGTGAACAGCACTGCTTGCTATAACAACAGTCTGAACATTCTTAAAAACACTCAAAATGTTTAAATAATAAATAATTATTTATGGCATCACGATATTAATATTATGCATGTTCATTATCATGATATATTGAATATCGGCATATGTCTACACATTTATCAAAGCTGTGTGTTTGTAATGTTCAGTGTAAAGCCCTTCTCACCTGTTGATTGTAGTAGTCAATCTTAGCTTGAGCCTCAGATGAAAGCTCAATGTCTTCAGCGCCGTAAACTCTCTGTGCAATAGTGCGAATTTTCTCTACAATAGGATCCTGTTAAAAATGAAAAAAAGAGCACAGGACACGCTAATTCCTTGAAATAAAAGGCATGCAGATAAAAGCGGGAAGAACTTAAAAACACTTTAACCTCATTATCAGTTCTGAATTGAAGCTTCCGCCAATCTGATGGCCATAAAATCACCCCAGTCATTTCTCTGGGCAGATGATTGGGATAGCAAGTGTTCAGACCTCTAATAGGATAATAGAGACCAGCCAGAGCCAAGGGCAGAGATTACAGCTCCTTTCATAGCATTGTTTAATCAATGTCACAACCTCCAAACTCACTAAGGTTAACTCAAACCAGCTGATGCCTCCACAGACCCTCCTTAAACCTGACATGCTCAGACTGGAGGGAAAAAACCATTAGCACATTATAGAAGACTCCCTTTCAGATACAATCATGTTTAATTCATCACTCTGAGTCTGCCTGGCCTGGTCTTAGATTAAATTTGGTTTACACAAGATCATTTTGTTTGTTTTCTTCTACACTGTAACTACTTGCGTCTGTTCTCACCTGCAAGTTATACAGGAACTGAAAACGGCTTCCCTGAGCAGCAACTTCCTTTACAGCGTGTGCCAGTTCAAGAGAGCCCCGTCCACCTCTGGACCAATGATGACATGGCACTGCAGCGGACGCCCCAGAAGCCTTTGCAATGCGACAAACCAGGTCAATCTCTGCTTGAGTGTCTGTCCTTGATTTAAAGAAAAACATACTTGGGCACAGGGCAGACAACACTCTGGCTAAACATGGATATTAATCAAAAATTTTGAGAAAAAAATTAAAGCATGCTAGAAAGACAGATGGGTAACACTTAACTTGAAGGGGATGTTCATAAGACCATTACGACACCTTAATAATTATGACATGACACGTCATGAACATGAAGGAGATTTTATGCATGCTTATTCGCTAAGTTGTCATTTAAAATCCAAGATGCTGTTTGAGATGTCCTTGTCATGACAATTTAACATAACCAATGCAACATAACTTGTCATAAATCTGTCATGAACATGATTGTCATATAGCCATATTTATTGTGTCATAGCTATTATTCTGATCACTTTTAGCATTACAATTTCTTAGTATATGAGTCAATAAGTATGGCACGGTGGCTCAGTGGTTAGCACTGTTGCCTCACAACAAGAAGGTCACTGGTTTGAGTATGGGCTGTGTCAGATGGCATTTCTGTGTGGAGTTTGCAAGTTCTCCCCGTGCTTGTGTGGGTTTCCTCCGGGTGCTCTGGTTTCTCCAATTTAGTCCAAAGATATGCGCTTTAAGTGAATTGAATAAACTAAATTGTCAGTAGTGTATGATTGTGTGTGTGAATAAGTGTGTATGAGTGTTTCCCAATATTGGGCTGTGGCTGGAAGGACATCCGCTGTATAAAAAATATGCTGGAATAGTTGGCGGTTCATTCCGCTGTGGTAACCTCTGAAATAGAGACCTAACCGAAAGAAAATTAATGAAAGAACGTGACAGCACTCGATAATTTTATAATAGTGTCATTATTATTTAATGACACATCAAATTTTTTACCATAATAGTAGAGGTCAAGAAAAATATTAATGACACTGTTATAAAATTCATATTGATTATAATGGCCTCATGACAGTCATGTTTATGACAATCATGTTGTGTTGCTAATGTCAAGTTGTCATGGCAAATACATCTCAAACATCATTATCCTTGCATTTAAGATGACATAATTGATCTAATGACAGGAGTCGAAAGCATGCACTACAAATCTCCCTCATATTCACAACAAGTGTCCTGTCATGATTATAAAGGTTCATATGAACACTCCCTTCAAGAAAAGTGATCCTGACCAAGGTAAGTAAAGTTATTGACACCATCTGTGACTTCGTAGTAACCCTTCTTGCTTGTCAATGGTTAAATAAACCTCATGTTGTAACCATCACATTATATAAGCAAAATTAATTTTGGAGTATGAAATTTTGAAAGTTTGTATATAAATCTACTCTTACTTGAAGGCATTTAAAGCAACAACCACAGGAACTCCAAAGAGATGAGCGATCTGAATCTGCTTCTTCAGGTTACTGCAGCCATCTGCAACCAGCTGTAAATTCTGATGGAAAAAACACAAAGAATGTTTCTTTTTAATGATGCTGTTTACATTCGCTGCATTAATACCGTTTATTATTGCCAATGTGTGCAAAGTTTAGTTTTTTTTTTTTTTGCGTCAGCACCACAGGATGTGTCATTAATAATATATAACTTTCAATTAGGATGCAATATTTTTGATGTAAAGCATTCATGTGATTGGTAATTTATGATGCCAGTTTTGTGGCGATGCCAGGTTTAACAACCATAGACAAATCACCGCCCTCTAAGTCCATATATGGAAATTCCTCAATTATGAAAAAATATAAAAATGGATAAATAGAGGAACCCATGGGAGAAGTGAGGAAGTGTTCTCTGGTTGGTTGTGTTGGTTGGAAGAAGAAGATGGTGTGAGAGGAAGTGAAGGTGGAGCGAGTGTTCCAGAGACGCGACTTACATGCGACTTGTCCTGATAAAGAAAGGCGATCGAAGTGTTTTTTAAGCACAACTGTACTAATCTGCACTATAAAGTATCTTGCTGGATCGTTTATGGAGGGGTGCCGACTCTATTATGGAGGGGTGCCAACTCGTATCTCCAAACGCCGACCAGCGTAACGTCCGCAGAGTTGTTTACCAAAAAATCTTAGGTTACCTGGATGTTTTCTCCATGAGTAAGCGTCTTTTAAATCTTCTACATTTAAGTCTAAAATCTTCACATCAAAACATCTTAGACAAAAGTCCCGGGTTTGGATCCCGCCTCAGCAAAGAAAATTTTGTTATTATTATTATTTTTTTATGTTTAAACAAATTAATGACTTATATTGAATTGTACACTGCCACCGTTACAGCTTACAAAATGTACATTTGTACATCAAAACTGAAATTCTGTACCAAAAGACTGCTGAAACAGGGTTTAAAATGGACCTTTAAAGGAAGGAACTTTAACTTTAATAATTTATTTATAAGTTTTCTACAAGCACAACATAAAATCTTCTCAAACTCATACAGAAATATTGTACAAATGATAAACAAAGCAAAAAGAACCAAATAAATTGGAAAAATAAGTAAAATTGTCAATGATTCATAAATGCCCTATTTTTCACATATTTTAGAAGCATCAGTCCTAGCAAAACAATTTTATTTCAAGCTTAAAATCAACAACCATTTCAGTCAGCCATTTATGAAAACTACATGGTAAAGTGGACTTCCAATCCATCAAGGTAACCTTTGTGTCAATGCTAACACAGGGTCAGATCATCTGACTAGGGCTAATTCAATACTTAACAACAATAAGTTTAGTGATCAAACATAAAATTAGACATTTCATTAGACACTAACTAGACAAAATTGGAAAGCATTAAAATCTTAGCTGGAGCCAAACGTTTTATCAAGAAAGGATAAACCGTTTTCCCTTGAACAACGTCATCCAGTTGATCTTTCGAGAGGAAACTTCCTGCTTTTCTTCTTCCTAACTAATTGCTGCTTATGAAGCAGAACTAGTCTCAGAGAATAGCGACCCAAAGCTCAGGAGATATGCTTTGGTGCTTTCTGGTTCTCATTACAGAACCGCACAATTAGCTTAAGCACTTGAGATATTTTCTCAGCTGGGGTTGCTTTAGAAAGACTGATGAAAAGCAGGTATGGCCTTTTCTAGACTACAGTTCCCATTACGCCTCGGTGTCTGTAGCTTCAACAACAGAGATTGCATTTACCCAGTTAACTGAATAACACAAACCATGTTAGGGAGGAAGAGAGGAGCTGAATGGGCTGAAAGTGAGGTGTTCTGGTGTTTGGCCTGGGTGAGGACGGCCAGACGCTCATTCATTTGCTCCCCTACCACTTTCCAAACACTCTATATTCTCATCAGGCCTTTGGGGAGCAACATCGCCACTTATTGTTGGATAAGGATAGAACACAAGTTGAGTTTAAAAAAAAAAAGAAAGAAAAAAATGTGTTCAAAACATGTTCCTTTTACTAAAATGAAACGAATAAATCATGATTTTTTTCTACATGTGGGCGTTACAAGAGGTCATGTACTGAATTTGATTTATATAAAAAGTAATGCTGTATCATGTTAGCAAATACTATAAAGCTTATGCTTATAAATAACCCACATAATTAAAACCTGGAGATCCCCGTGTAAGACACTGTGACAGTAACAAAGATTAAATGGGAAGAAAAAACATTACATTCTTTCTCTTGTTCCTTCAAAAAGAATTGTATTCAAAACAAAAGCAACCATTTCTCAGGGGAACAATACTTCACCGAAAGAAGGCAGAAGTATTGAAAACAATTTCTCGTCCGATGTTATATTTCCATATTTCATTCAATCAGCATGAGCACAAAAATTTCCTGTCTCAGTTTCAGTTTTTTTGCACTCTCCTAAACTTATTATACAACAATAAAATGATATTTGACATTATATTATACATTTATGACTGATAAAATAGAAAGATGTGTGGAAGTAAGGTCAATGTAAAAAAAATCCATGATGAAAATTTCTGGATAGTAAATCTAAATTACATTTGAATTTGAATGGTATTAGATTTCTCAGAGGAAATTGAGTTTGAAGAAAAACAGCAGCTCCTTAGCTCTGGAATTATCAAAAAGGTACTGTAAGAAAAGCACAGACTGGGAAGATGTGTATTAAAATATCAAAGTATGTCTATGTTCTCAAAAACCTCCAGAAAAACAAGAATAAGACTAATTACTGGGGTACAAAAAACAAGCTTTGCCTACCTCCTCGATATATTCTTTAGGCAGTGGTGCACCAGCTGTAACCTTTAAACAAAACACAGAAAATTGTAAAATTATCAAATGTATTACTAATAGGGTGTGCAATATGACAATATGTAGATTGTATTGACAACAAAATGTCTAATAATTATAGTCTAATAATAAATGTTGAATATTTTGCTCTATAGCAGGGATGTCAAATTGAGTTTCTGGAGGGCTGTAGCCCTGCATAGTTTAGTTGCAACCCTGTTTAAACACACTTAAGCCATGGTCACACTGCACTTTTTGACCTATATACTTCCATTCATATGCATGCAAATACGACAGACCGGAAACACAAGTTCGTGTGGCAAGTTTCACAGTTAACTGCGTTCGAAAGCTTGGTGAACTGTGACCTGCAAAATTGCATCATGTGAGATGCATGAGACTAGAATAGTAGAACAAAACATGACTTCTTTGAACAAAAATTTAATATATGGACCAATAGCTCGCTTTTTTAATGTCTAATCCTCTTGTTTTATCCTGCCCTGTTGCCAGAGCCGTAGGACAGAATTTCGCAAACTAAAACTTTAGGTTGAGCAAGGCATTACCTGTAGGTTTTTAACAAGACTGAAAGACTCAATTAGTTTTATCAGGTGTGTTTAATTAGGGGCTGGAACAAAACTGTCCAGAGCTTCACCCGTCCAGGCTCTTAATTGATATGAGTGCTATATTACACAAACCTTACAATGTTTACATATTGCATATTTATTAGAAATATTCATTCATTAATTTTCTTGTCAGCTTAGTCCCTTTATTAATCCGGAGTCGCCACAGCGGAATGAATCGCCAACTTATCCAGCAAGTTTTTTACACAGCAGATACCCTTCCAGCCGCAATCCATCTCTGGGAAACATCCACACACACACACACTCTCATACACTACAGACAATTTAGCCTACCCAATTCACCTGTTCGCATGTCTTTGGACTGTGGGGGAAACCGGAGCACCCAGAGGATATGTATATATATATATATATACATATACATATATATAGTATTGTTATCAGGAAATGATGCGACTTATATCAATATATGGAATTGTTGCCATATTACCCATCCCTATTTCTAATGCATTCAAGCATGTGAGACATGCAAAATTGCTCAAACCACACTTACATTTGGTCCACCTCCATGCATCTTCAGAGCGCGTATGGTGGCAACCAGCACAACAACATTAGGCCTCAGTCCAGAAGTCCGACACTTAATGTTGAAAAACTTCTCCATGCCAATATCTGCACCAAAACCAGCTTCTGTCACTGAGCAAGGAAAGAGAAGACAATTAAACAATGTACAGTACATACAGTCTTGAAATAAAACAACTGCTCTATTGTGCAAAAGAATGATGTAAACAAACAAATTTTTCAATTTTTCAAATAATGTAAACAAACAAAAAAAAAATCGCATCAATACCTTATTATTACAGAGCATAACCGGATAAGAGCACTTCATTCACACATGCTTTCTCACACGCACACTTGAGTGACCTCCAATTACAAGGTAATCGAATTGTCCCCGCATTCCAGAAAGAGGTACTGCAGTTTGTTCATATTAAGGATGTAATTACAACCATTTTACAAGTGAGCATGTAAGCGCTCCACATGTGTTACTGCAATGTTTCCCTAAAGTGCTGACAGTGGCGTTCAAAACATTAACAGCACAAACCAATTCAGTTCAGATGTTTTCAACACTACTGTATTTTCCTCTCATCCGCAAGCCTAGTTTGTTTGTTTTGTGTGTGAGAGACATCTACTGTTTGTGTTTGGACCGGTCAGTATTAATGTGTGTATGTACCATTAAGCAGCAAGCATGTGTGGAAGATTTCCACGTATCCATTTTTCCCAGAACCCTGCAAGCTTCCTGTGCTACTTCCCAGGCTTTTTGGAGCAGGAGGGAATGGGAATTGTAATGTTGTTGTTATTTCCACCAGAGAGGTCTGGCATGTTTTCTGAGGCTCTGCATGTTTGTATGTGTGTGTAGGCATGTGGTGGTCTGGCATTCAGTTCTGAACAAAGGTAATATCTGGAAGGCAGGCTTTTTTTAGTCTTATATGCATCAGATCTTGCTTACTTAGTTATTTTCATACAGTTTGTGTAAATAAATATAGAATTTACAATCTCACTTGCATTTGCCATATCCAGTGTAGAAAGAATCACTGTTTATTTGTGTCACGTCACACTGCTCAGGTCAGTGCAGGAACAATGTAATCAATCCGTAAATTTAGACTTTTAGTTTGTGATTTACAGGAAAGTACATGGCAAGACAAAAAATAAACCAAGCATTAGGGGCACCTATTATGCAATATAAACTTTTTGCACCTGTTTGGAGAGTAATGTATGTAATAAATAGTGTAAACATCAATATAATAGTGGTATAAACACATTAGTTCCCTCTTTTAAATATTCTAAAATATACCAGGATCCAAAGTCAAGAGATCATGATTTTTCTGATCTTTCAGTTTTTGAATGAGAGGCAATTTAAAACAGGGTTTGCAAAAAATATGGGAATACAGGATAGATCTATTCCAACCATCTGTATTCCAGCTTCACCTCAAGAAGTATGTGGTACACTTTATATATTTATAAGATTTTGGTATATCTGTCATATAAATCAATGTGACAGTTCAATAGCAATGATAGCATTGTACGTTTTCATGGACACCAATAATCTGATTTTAATACAATTAAGACAATACTCTGATTAAAAGTCTACCACGTAAACGGTGACTTTTGATGTCTTTAATCTGACTAAAGTAATAATCAAACTAAACATAAATAATTAAGACATGTTGAGTATGCCAATTTAGTCACATTATTAAAGTGCAGTACAGACATGTAAACACCGCAATCAAACTATTAACATCATGTAGGATTTTTACTGCATTTTGAGAGTCTACACACATACACCAAAGACACCTGCATCACAAAATGCTGAGTTTTTTCCCCATACAGTGTGCGGGATCAAATTTAAGCAAACAATATTCCAGCAGTTCATACTTTCATCCAATATCTCGTTGGTCACAGGAGGCATGCATGAAATGTTCCTGAATAAAAGTTCCAAACTGCAGTTAAAGTCGACAAATTAAAAATGAAATACCTGAAATTACATGAAACTCAGAAGGAAATGTGAATAGCGTGGTGGCGCAAAAATCAATCAAACTATGTGCTACAACATACAAAACAGAATCATGAAGGGAACATTCAAAAAGCAACATATGTAAACACCTTAATCATATTATTGTCTTATTCAGATTAAGGCCATTAATTTGATTACTGATGTCCATGTAAACGTATTCACTGTTAACGTAACATTGCTATTTGTCACTGGTTTTGACAACTGACTATGAGTATCTTTAAAACAGACATGCCGCATCATTCAATTATGGGAGGAGGACAACCAGCTCATTTGCATTTAAATCTACAGGCATTTTTTACTCTGACCTCTTAAATAATTTTTTCAGCAGGGTTTAATAAATTATCTAAATTGTATTTTGAGTTGAGACTTCACATACATATTCCAGGGACACTAAATACCTAAATTACATCTTGTAAAAACTGGCAAAATATGTGCCATTCAAAGGAATGTTGTAGAATGTTTACGGAAGGAAAGAAAAAATCCTGTTTAAGAATTAAGGAAAGAATGGAGGGAGGAAGAATGCAAGTATACATTTATATAAAAAAATTGTGTTCAGGTGAATAAAATAAGTGAAGTTTATTTATAAACTAATTTCGAGAGGATCACATGCTTCTGATTGATCACAGCTGGTCCCGCATTAACTAATGTATGATTCACCAATCAGATGATTTCTAGCTCACTATAAATAACCAGTTTCTAACTTCAGTTATGTTAGCCTTGAAGAATCCCCCTTCCACCCCTACTCCTCCTCCTTACCCTTTATAGGGTGGTACAGCAGCCTAGTGGTTTGCAATGTTGTCTCACAGCAAGAATGTCACTGTTTCAGGTGACGGTTTCCTCCCACATTCCAAAGATATGCGCATAAAGAACACCACACAGAGAGCACAACGAGAAGCAGCCAGAGAAGACTGTATTGTCCCACTCTGGAAAAGGGCCTTTGGTCAGGGTGCCTTTTCAATGCTGAGTTTTTTTCCCATACAGTGTGCGGGATCAAATTTAAGCAAACAATCTTCCATCCAGAGGATCACCTGCTTCTGATTGATCACGGCTGGTCCCGCATTAACTAATGTATGATTCACCAATCAGATGATTTCTAGCTCACTATAAATAACCAGTTATTTTATTTAGTGAATCAGTGAATCGATCAATCAAAATTGTCACTACAGTCGAGCTCTTAACCAGCAGTATATCTCTATATAGCCATTTCTAATTTGTCATTAGCTCTAAATAAAAGGGGCGTTCTCAAGCCCTACCTGAGCTCAAACATCCATCTCGCCCTGGAAATAGGAGGAAGCCCTGGGCTCGAGGATCTTATAGGCTTAGGGCTCTCTCCCAGGACAGCATGCCAAACTCACTTTATAATCAATCATCAGCTAAATGTGAACTCTTGAAATGTATATTTCGGTGGATTGAATGTTTAGGAATGAAAATTAAGAAAACAAGAGAGCACATGAACTGCAGCCAATCGTCCCATAAACCTGAACACTGACTTAAGCAACCTTAAAATAATTTCAAGCATAAAAAACACTGAAAGCACAAGATGGTCCTGCAGTTGGAGTTATCTGCAGTAATTCTGCTTGAGCTGTGAATCAGGCTGTTCTCCTGGAGGCAGTTCTCCTGACCTTGAGATGACCAGGTGTTGTAAAAAGTAAACCACCTCCTGAATGAAACTCCCTGTAGACGAGTACACATGGCCGGGCCTTGTGTCATGCTCACACAGGTCAGCTCAGATTTACAGCTGTGAGGCGGGAGTATGTTATTGCCCTTCAGGAACTTTCAGAGAATTCGGAGTATCACGCTATCTATCAGTCTGAGGCATGTGCAGGGCAGTCAGTTTGGTTTGGGTAGCCTAAAAGTAGTAGTATTCACTCTGGTATTCTTGAGCAGATCAGCGGCTTTCCTGTAAAGCAGATCTGTTGTGTATAATCAGCTGATAGTAACGTCCTCCCTCTCACAGCAAAACCACTACATACCACACATACCTTGGCATCAGGTAACGCATACACACGTCTCCCTTCTTCGCTGATATTTTGCAAAAGTCAACAACTCTCAGCATTCCTGCTATTTGTTGGGGCTGACGCTCCAAGTCTAATATGGACTTCTTAGAATATAAGAACAAGTAAGAGGTCTCAGCAGCTTGTCTTTCGAAATGCACTAAATCATAATTTTTTACATTGTTCAACAGAGGGCTCTCTAATAAGGTTTCAGGCTGCAAAATATAGTTGCAAATTAATATTAATAATAATAAACAAAAATATGGATATTAAAATGCTGTTAAATGTTACAAAAATACTCTTCTAATAATGATTATTAGTGATAGAAATAGTTCTTGTATTAGAAGTAATAATATTACTAAAAATAGAAAAATTGTCCTAATTGACTCAAAATTAGCTTTTAAATGTCAAATTAAAAAGTTCTGTAACAGTGTCAAACAACCTGGTCACAAGCAAACAAAACAACACTAAAGCCCATAGAGTATACAAACTTAAAATACTGGATAAAAAGCCTCTAAGACATCATCATTGTACAATTTTACAACAACATAAACTGTTAAGCTTGGAAAATCTCATTTTCAAGTATTCTCAAATCTCAAGTGTTTAAAAATGGTCTGATTTATAAAATCTTTCATGGTCTATCATCTACAACTCTCAGTCAGTTTGCAACCATAAAGAACACCACACAGAGAGCACAACGAGAAGCAGCCAGAGAAGACTGTATTGTCCCACTCTAGAAAAGGGCCTTTGGTCAGGGTGCCTTTTCAGTTACAGCTGCAAAGGAGTGGAAATCAGAGAAATAACCACTTACAACTTGTCCAAAAAACATTTAAAAATTTGGTTTATATAACATCAGATGTGTCAACAATCATATTAGCTTGTACCAACATATCGTGTTACCACTTGTGCCTGCCATCCTAATGATTTGTTGTTTAAATGTGTTTAACTACTTTTAATCTCTATTAAATAATGGTGTTTTTAGTTTATTTTGTACATACACATTTATTATTAAGCTCTACTTAACTATGTCTATTTTGGTGCTTCTTAACTATGCTTGATTGATTGTATAATTTTTGTGAAGTTTCATAAACTAATTTCGAGAGGAGCACGTAATATGATCGACTACAGCT